GGGTGATCAGCTCGTCGCAAGGCCTCTACCTGTACACAAACACAGAAAAACGCACACACACAAACTAAACATCCATGCCCTGAGTGGGATTCGAACCCACGATCCCGGTTTCCAAGAGAGCGAAGACAGTACATGCCTTAGACCGCTCGGCTACCGTGACCGGACGTTAAATGATTTACTCAAAAGGAAAGGTCAACATAGTAAGTAATGCTATCAAGGACGAAAACAAACTGTAATGACGAAGTTCAATTCCGGATAAGTGAACAGATTTTTGATACAAGGAAACAATGTTAATGCTATAAAGCTGCACATAAGTCTAACACATTGTAAATAACCAACCACTACCATGGAGTTGATTTTTCGTGAGAAGAAATTAATTTGTCAGCTACTACAGAAATTCCTCAATTTTTCACAACGTGAATGCTTACTTCCGTGCTCACAAAAACATGCCTGTAGTCTGCAGCCTATGGCTGCTACCATCTATTCACGCTGGTTCCTCGCTCGCGAATTTTTCTACCCTGAAAATGGAGGCGACACTTTCCTCCGAAACGTCGGTTCACACAAGATGTACACGGCTCCACATCCCAGAAGATGTGATATTTCATAAATGCTTACTCAGAAGAGACTGATGTTCATCTAAACTGGAGAGAAATTTCGCGATATTAAAAAATATATAAATAACACAGGTATTTTATTTTGAGATATTCAAGCGGAAGAAATGTGTTATTGAGAAAGAAGTAAACAAATTTGGCTACAAAAACGTCAATGGGACATTGAGGTCATTTGTTTGTTGAGTAATGTCAATGAACACTCACAGCAGAAATCCCCTGAAAATACTCAATTCACCGGGGTCAGAGTCGATTGATGTGACATCGATTTATCAAAGTATGGTTACATGGTTTCACGGTTAATGGTTGCATTTGATTGAGCATGTCCAATATGACCTGTGTCGATTTGGAGACATTTTTATTCTGTAAACAGTTCATGGTGCATGGCAAAGGTGTAGCTTATGGTTTGTCGTAAGACATATTAGAAGTTTTATTATGAATCACGCGTTCATACAAATAATAAGTACAGGCAGAGCAGCTCGAAATGATTCCGTTCACAGGATTGTACACAGATAATAAAAGTATTTTGTAACAGAATTACTACATTTGATGATAATTTGATATGAATATTGTCACTTGTTGGGTATATGTCACCCGACAAATAACTTCACGCTGTTCTGGATCTAGCGAATTTGTTCCACCCGCTCTCACAATTACACCACTACTGCTATCTGCAATATCACAGTTACTTCTCCTGCTTCCATTCACTCCGGCGGATGCTAGACTGCAACTGACTGGTTAGCCCTCTCACTGACGAATACTCCTGTTATGTAGCTTCTGCACTGACAGAAAAGTTACGTGATAGCTTTCACTGCTGCGTAACGTCGTGTTTACAGGCGTTGCTGGGGAACGCTGCCGAGACTTGTTTATTGCTGCGTAGTAACCTAGGCGTCCCCTTTTACGTCACTGTGGGAAGTGCTGTTACGTCACCGCGGGGTAGGGGGACGGAGTGTTGACTTGCGTGTTACCGTAGCAGCGGCAGGTGCTCCGATGCTGTTACGTCACCGCTGGAGGGGGTGGTGTTTACTGAGCTTTGCGCCGTCCACGTCACAAGATATATAATCGCGTATAAGGGGTAGGAGTGACAAACAATTGTGGGTTCTAGATCTGATGATTGGATTTATTGGGCGAGACTATTACAATTACAGTTGATTATAACAGCTCACACATTGAACTCCTTCCTGACAACGAATGTCTCCCTGTATGTCTCCTGGTTCTCGGACTGTTCTCTAGTCTTCTACTATTCAGTACGACCGACTGCCTGAGTATGAGTCTTATATTGCAAACGACGGTCAGTCGGTCAGTCTCTTTTAGAACAAAACGCCCATCTGGGGCTTACGACCAGATTTTTATTACTGTCAGACAGTTACTTATTTGTTGATTTGGGGCACACTTTCTAATGGAGGGACGGGTCTGTCGTTTCCAATTCCTGCTGGCCCTCGCCAACGCAGTCATTCTTGGGTCCGAGTCCCGTGGGACTCGTGACCATATTTTACTGTCTCATATTCGAGACGTCCCATTTCGTCGCCTCCTATGAATCGCAGGGCAACCGTGGATGTATTCGACCCCGCCTCCACACGGGAATCGACCGACTGACTTCCAATGAATTACGTGTCCGTTTGTGATCCGATGAGGAGCGCGAACAGAATACACATTTGAACGGTTAGTCTCTTGTAATCTGCGTAATCGTTGCCACGGTAATTCGTGTTTAGCAACTTGTTACCTGATAAAGATTCGCTCTGATGTAATGAAAACGGGAATAGGAATGTTGCTGAGCAACGGAGTCTGGTCCTGGCTCCACTATTCCGGCTTTCAGCCGTCACGTCACAATGTATAAGTAAATATATATAGGAGTGTAGTAATCTAGAGCGTACCCGTGTGAAGTGGAGAAATTTATTTATTAATGTATTCCAATCTTTAAAGTACTCACGATCAAATAACAAGAGAATAAAATATTTTCGTGATATCAAGTATGAAAGAAACAAATTCAAGATGATTACTAGTATGGTAGCTACATAAACGCACGGTGTGTGAGGAAGGAAGAAATTATTGGAATGGAAATCTGATATTGCGTTAAGGAAAATTTAAACTTAACTGCGTCCCCTTATTTTATTGTGTTCTAGACCAACATGACAGCGTCACAGATATTTAACGCTTAAGGAGACCGGATGTCAGGATAGCTTCAAAGTCCACACATATCAAAACACATGTGAACAATATTTGTAGATAAATTAATTTGAATTTATGAACTTCAAATATTCGTACTGATATCTTCTGAGAATAGACTCATAAGCAGCATTTTTAATCCCATTTCATTGCCGTTTGCCTGTTAATGCATAAAAGGCTTCTTATACTTTCAAAATTGGTTTAATTTCAAGCTCTCTGAAATTATGGAAATGGAAAACGCAGATGAATCACTAAAATTTCATTGTGAAATAAAATTCAGTTTACAAAAATCCTTAAACACGATTCTAATTCTCGTTTGACGCAAAAGTTGCCCTTCTTGCACACACAGTTTTAACAGAATAATTTAAACTCTTATTATAAATATTTTTAAAAATATTATGGAAATTCTTGACATATGATGAACTGAGGTAGTATATAAAGGCACATAAAGATGCTTTATATTTGTATGTAATTAAGACTGTTGAATCAGCTCAATCAGTGCTAGAGAACAGAATCTATGATAAATACGACCGGTAGCTGGAAAGACTGAGGGCGAGATCTTTGGGAAAAAAATGTTAAACACTAACTAAAAATTCAGGAGTCGGCATAGCTCAGTCGGTATGACAACGGGCTGCGGGCTGAAGAGCCATGGTTCCAATCTCGGCAGGGGAAAGATTTTTCTCTTCTGTACAAAATCCAGACCGGCTCTGAAGGCCACCCGGCCTCCTATGCAATGGGCAACGAGGATACTTTCCCCCGAAGTAAAGCGGCCAGGGCATAAAGCTGACAACTCATCTCCATTCAGAGGCAATATCAAGAACGTGGAGCTATATTTTCACTCCCTAATATGTCATCATGGCATAGTGCTTAATTAATGAAATACGAGGACAACTTTATCTTCATTATCTAGGAATTGGCCTGAAAGTGCTCTTTATTTATGTATATATGTGACGTAGTGATGGTAGTATCATGAGATTCAACAAAACGTGGTTGAAGCATAGGTCAACCCACTTTATGTTGTAGAGAAAAAGGAGGCAGTTGAAATTCTTTTGAAGATTATGTCTCATGTCGGTCATGTCTAATATCGGTTGCCCTAAAACTCTGACACAATTTGTGTCCCCTATGAATAAAACTGAATTTTACTCACCTTGAGCAATAATGTCTCCTTTATCTCTTGTCCAGTAGTTGATGGACTTAGGATAAGCTTCTGAATTGCATTCCAAGGTCATTTGTTGACCTTCGTGTGCTCCGACTAATTGGTTCTGCACCCAGATCATGGGAGGAACTATAAAAGAAGACATGCAACCTACATTCAGTACTTCAGTAAAATATTAATGGAAACTTACATTAAGAATACTGACAGTTAAGTCCTCCGTAGATACAGAGTAATAAGATTATGGATCTGTAATGAGACTCTTATGAGTATTTGGAATCCTGTCACTCATAGATCCAACATTGTAAACTCTGATATCAATCTGCTGAGAGTTGCACGCTTTAACTCTAACGTCAGAAAATTATTATAAATGAGTTAATGTAAAGCTTCAGTAGCCGAAATGAAATTTTCTCTGATTGGTAATAGCTGAAAAAAACATGGATGTAATTACCTGTTAAAACCAGGTACAACGATGAACACTGTCGCTATATAATTAACTTCATAATTTTGTCAATTAATTTTTATTATGGTCTAGTGTCCTACACGAAACATCCATCCATTTCTTTCAGTAAGGCATCAAGAGTCACAGCCTGAGGTAACCATATATTGTTAAATACAGACTACATATTCTATTCAGTATTCGAATTTACACTTAGTAGTTGTGAAAAAAATCTCGAATACAAAGTTAGTAAGCGTTCCATTGCTCTAAATTTGGCAATAGATCTAATTCTTTTTCCATTCAGTTCCTAGATATTATATTAACAAATTTTTCAAGTGCTTTTTATTAGCTGAGAACTGTTGATTAATGACTGGAAAAACCACACATTTCTAAACAATTGTATATAATGAGGTGTATTTATGCTAACCGTCTTACAGTGCACACAATTTCACCTTTCTCTTCACTTTTACACTACATGTTTCGGCACTAATGTGCCATCTTCAGGTGTGTCTCTACCCATGTCAAACTACTGCACTGCATGCCATGACGTCTCCATCATAAAATGACTAAAATGTGTATTCGTCATGTATAACAATAAATTCTAAATACTAAAACCTTTCAGGATTCGCCATCCTTACGTCGTATCTCAAAACGCGAATCACGCCAATCCTCCTCTGTGGGAGCACTCTTCCTACATTCATGTGTGTATTGTGCTCTTTGTTATGTCTTGCTCCTGTGATTGCGTGCGTTAATGTGGATAGAGACACACCTGAAGATGGCACATTAGTGCCGAAACATGTAGTGTAAAAGTGAAGAGAAAGGTGAAATTGTGTGCACTGTAAGACGGTTAGCATAAATACACATCATGGACATGAATCAGTGCAACAGGACGCT